CACTGCAGCATTGTATTTCTCTTTCAAAATATATCCGATCTCTCTGAATTTAGGAAGGGTGGTCCAGCAGGTCTTGGTTGTACAGGAACCTGAAACTCCATGACACTTGCACTCCAGTTTCATTCTCTCTTCAAGCACCTACATGCACAGATATTGAATATTATTACCATGGGAACACTACATTGCAAGCTCACCTAAGACTCAATCTGTTCAGTTCACGTTAAAGGTCATTAATGTGAGCAGAAATTTTCAATGCATACTGATGAATCCCCTTGCCTTACAGCAGAATGCTTATAGCACATTTTGTTTTATGCGCCGCTTTATCAGAAACAGAGTTTTTGGACATTTTATTATGAAATACTTGTGTTCTGTTTCCAAATATTGGAAATTATTTACTTAAATTTCAGAAAATGTTTTCAGAGACAAAGTAAGACTCTGGAGACTTCAGAAATTTTTCCAAATCACATTCTTTTTGAAAGTAGAAGAAAAGAAAAATGCTTTTTAGAAGTGGTATAAGATTCTGAATATTTAGTTTTAATGGCTTTAAGACTAAATTTTATTTAATTTAGTTAATTTAGTTAATTTACAATATTTAAAATTTTTGAATAGTTTTAATATTTGCAGAACAATATATACTATGTGGGTGAAAAGGCATTCATGTTCACTGCATGATTAAAAATTTTGCTTACACCAGCAATGGCAATAGCAGCATACATATTAACTACTCAACCCGCAGCGTATTATCAGCTTTAAAAGCAGCACTTCTTGCAGTACCCATCCCCATTTCACAGAATCACAGAATAACCAAGGTTGGAAAAGACCTTCAAGGTCATCCAGTCCAACCATCACCTATCACCAACAGTACTCACTAAACCATGTTTCTCAACACAAAATCCAAACACTCCTTGAACACCTCCAGGGTCGGTGACTCCACCACCTCCCTGGGCAGCCCATTATTTCACAAAAATGTTCATCCATAAGAATATTTTTTGCCCCAGGGCAATGGTTGTGCAACTTTAGAGGAATAATATACAATGTAGGGCCCCACTGAGCTGTGAGCCAAAGAGAAGAAGGAGCATTTATTATTGTTATTACTGTGTAATGCCTAAAAATATCTCGTTCTCATTATGGATGTGCTTTCTGGGCTCAGTGAAGGTGTTGCCACCAGCCCCTGGAGGAGGCTGACCCAGCATCAGGTGTGCCTTAGAAGAGATAAAAATGCTCTCCTGCCTCTTTTGTGCCTGGAGGAGAGACAGGCCTCAGGAGAGCACCTCTGTTTTCCTGCCCTTACATGACCACGACTGCACTCACAGCCACCATTAGCTTATGAAAATCAAGGCCTAAAAACAAAGCAAACTGATCTTTCCCCTTTGCACTGGGAACCTAACTAAGAAATACGAGCTATCGATCTTGTCTTGAAGCATTGCTGATGCTACAGACCATCTCCTATAGTGGTTTCATTGCAGATCCCAGAACATGACTGAAATGGGCAAAGGATAAAAGGGCCGAAATCTGAGTACAGTGGCATAATGAAGTAGAAGAGAAGTAAAAAATGCTTACTGTTTAAGAAACTGGCCTTAAAATAAAAGCTGAGCAGATCTGGTTATCCCTGCAAATAGAGGACACTCTCCGTGTTGTTTGAGCTTCAGTTAAATTGTATGTTTTGTATTTTTCCCAAATTTCTGAGGTTTCAGTATTAAAGAAAATATTTAGTTTTAATTCCGCCTTGCCAACATACAGTAGGAAGAACAAGACAGCTGGGCAACCTAGTCAAAAATACCTTAGACTTTCTGGAAACAATGGCTTTCCTATGCCAAAGTCCAGCCAGTTCTTCAGTGCTTAGAGACAAAAAATCTGACTTCCAACAAGGATTACAGGCTTAGTACAGCTGCTGTGCTCTAGAAGGAAATCAGCTGAATGATGAACTGCTTTATATGGACATAAGTTGCTCTCTGCTGAACTGTATCACCTTCCTGTCTTCCCAGACAGAAAGATTGCCACCTTCTGCCATGACAGAATCATTTCAGTATCAGCAAATAGAAAGGTGCCTTATCAAATAGTCCAGGGTCCATCAGGACTCCTCTGACTCTACTTTGTGTATGTGAGGAGGATGTGATGGTTTGAGGTCTTCTCCCACTGCAGAGAAGATTACAATCCTGTTCCACAAATCTGATATTTGGATGCCCATTATGTTTCTATTTACTTTTTTTTTATCATTATTATTGCTTATGTGTTTCACTGATACTGCTGAAATACATTATTTTAAACCAGTCTGATTCTATAATTCTCTCTTCCAACTCTGCAAACATTACAAAACATTACAAAAATTTGTAGCAGAGGGTGGACAGAAGCAACTTTCTTTATGCCATCACTATAGAGCACTACAGGTTGTAAAAACTTCCAAGAAAGCAGCAGAAATGGGTCAGATTCACCACACCTGATTTATGTTCCTCTTCTCCCTAAGTAACAGTTCTTGGTGAAGCACAACCTTGTGTTTTTGTATGCATTTCATCAGGCTTTGCATGTGTGTGTGACATCCATTTTTTAGTTCGAAAGGCAAAGCAAGTAACTTGCCCAGAAGGCAGAAGGAGTCAGAGCTTGTGAGGCTCCTGATTCTATGGGCTTGGCACTCTGGACACTGCCTTGAGGAGTCTTGGACTCTCTCTGCAACAGAGTGTCACTGTTTCTTAAAAGTAAAAATATTACCCATTCTGGTGTCCTAGGTGCTATCTATGTATATGTATATTTATATGTATGTGCATGTCTATTTACTGTGTGTACCAGTGTGTATTCTGTTGAGACACTGCCTTTATATGCAGCAGTGCCCAACACACTCTGTAGCACAATCTGCAGTAGCTTAATCCCAAGTTTTGATTTTTTTTTTTTTTTTTGTCTTTCTGGTGATCCAGTTCCATGAGTCATTTTGTTGTATAGAAATCAGATTCCACTATAGTATTTTTTCAAATATTCCTGATTTTAGAATTGTGAAAGAACCAGAAAATGCAAGCCATGCAAGCTCGAAAAAACCCCAGAAGTTTCAAAATGTATTAATTTGTGATCCTGAAGTCAATGTTTCAGGGTTTTTTTTATTTTATTTTTTGGAGGACTTTTCTCATGAATGTGGAATGCTTGGGGTTACAACACTGAGTGCAGGCCCAATCATCAGGTAGTTAAATTCCTGAATGCTATAATTTGTGTGCCCACAGTCAGCTGTGGGTATAAAATTGTGCCCAAAAACTTGGAGGTCAGGGAATGTATGGCCCAAACTTAGCAGATTTGAAGTAAGACTTTTTTTCCTTTTCCACAAAGATGCTACTGAGAGTTCCTCTTTGCTAGCAAGCCAGCACACTTGGGCTTTTCTTGAGGTGTGGCCATAAGGCCCCACAAGATACTATAAGGAAATCCTTGAGAAGATCCTGCTGCTTCTACTTTGCACCTTGCCATTCAGACAGAAAGCTGCACCTTTGTTGCTGGGATCTCAGCAGCTTCTTACTCTCTTACTCTTTCTCTGACAAAGGTGTTACCATTTTGTCATCACAATGCTATGATAGAAGAGTGGCCAGTGTTTTCTTCCTGTATGTCCCTCCAACCTAGTTTTTCTCAGCAGAATTCCCATCAGAGTTTTGACCCTGAACCCTGAAGGTACTTATTTACTCAGATCTGATACACGATGCCAAGGTAGGTGCCTGATTAAAGATTGAAAATCATTAGCTCATATGACCCACTCATTCAGCAGTTTCATTTGTCATATGTCAGTGCCTCATATCTAATCTCAAATAGTTTACAGCAAGATCTACTTCCCAAAGCAAATTCCCATCGTTGGACCGTGCTGCCTCAGTCTAATAGTAGGAACATTCTTTACGTCCATTTTCCACATGCAGGCCCACTCCCACCCCAGTAGGATCTTGCCAAGTAAAATTTTCTAACTGCTGCTACTTTGCTAAATGAATTGTGAAATATAATGTTAAAACTTTCTTATTCCACAAATTTTTATATCTATATAAATCATACATTGAAAGTGCAATTTGAGGGTTTTCCACTGCCAGTTAAGTAGAAAAACCTAGCAAAGACTGAAATAAAACAGAATGATACGCATGAAAAAAAACTCGTTTTTTCAAGTTCCGTATCTAGACCCAACTGCATAACATCAGATACTGTTTCTGTACATATTAAAAATCCTATCTGGATAAAATATGTAAAAACAATAGTAACATTTTGTGTGTGTTTGTTTTGGCTTGCCTTTTCTGGTTTGTGTTTTTCTTAGTGGAAATGCACATTTTTGGACCAGATGTTGAATGTAACAAAATCCATATTACTTTTTGACTGCATTATCAAAAAGAAATAGAAGACTTTAAGAGTTTTTCCCCATCAAAAATGCAAGTAATCAACTTTTGCTTTGGGTAATATCAGTGCCCAAAGAGATAGATTTTGGTCATAAGATGTCACCATCTCTTTGCATACTCAGGCAACTGCAGCCACAAGAACTTACGGCTTGCCAGTGACAAGTGGGCATTAGCAAACTTTAGCCTCAGTGCAGCCTGGGGTCCAGTACTGCTGGCAAAATACTGACCTCATGGACCCATCTGGGAAACAAAGCTGGGTTTGATCTTGGTCTGTATGTGTTTCATATTCGTTTGTTCTTTGTTGGTTATTTTTGTTGGGTTTTTTTTTTTCTTTTCTAATTTGGAAAGCTAAGCATCCTAATATTAGTAATGCTAGATGTAATGTAATTAGATGTAATGCTATATACAAATGTTCTGAAAATATTTTTTAATAACAGTTGAGTGAACCTGAAGTTGAGCAGCTTATGTTATATTTCATCAGGTTGTATCCAGCTCTGGTGAAGATGGGGCATAGTGAAGCCAGCAAGAGTGGAGTTAGCAAGAGGGCTAATGGTACTTCAGCTGCATATTTTAATTTATGATGTTCCTGTGTAAGGTGATGAACTGACTTATCATGTTTACTCCCTCTCTTTTTGCATCCCTATTCTTATTGTTTAGTTTGATGGGAGCAAGGAGCTTTGAAGCGGATCAGTACCCAGCCACAGCACGAGACAGCTTTTCTCTGGCACTGGCTAGAAGTCATCAGGACTGGGGATCCTCTGACTTTCTGAGAGGCATGAATTGACCTCCTGCCTTTCATCAGCCTCCCTAGGTAAGGCATTCAATCCCATTGTATTCCCACTGAATACATTGCAAACTGAAAAAGGCTGTTGCTTTCCTTACACAAGTTCTCTCCCTGGCCAGCAGGAATATAAGCCTGGAATTTTGAGAACTGTTGGCCATCAGATGAAAGCCCCTACCTAATATTAAGATGGACCGTAGAAACTTGCCCATCTGGACCTCTTCCTTACCTTCTAGAAGAGCAGAGAATAGCTAAGTTTGAACAGAAAACTGCTGCGATTGATTGAATTGTTTGAAAAGTATTTTCAAAGGGCAATGTTGAAAAAAGCAGAAATCTGAAGAAGCACCCCTTAAATCATCCTCAAACCAAGTGTGATTGCATTATTTCACTATCTTTTTCGGTGGAAATTTCTGTAAAGATTACAAGGAAATTTTTAATCATCATCTTAAAGAGAATAAAATACTTCACTGCTGGTTTTGATGTGTCAGGCAAAGAGATGTCAGGTTTGGAGGGTGTGCAGTAGCGTTTTACTAGATAAATGATATGTGCATCTTGTATGCATTGCATGATATGCCATGGGCATGCCCATTTTTAGAATAAAACCATTTAACAACTTCTAAAATATTTGGCTTTTTCCCTCCTCTAATTTTAAAGCAATACGTTCAAAATGTAGGATAGTACCAGATGTAGCTTCTGGCAGTCGACATTAAGGGTGTGTTTCTGGAAGAAAAAAATAGGCTAGTAAATCCAGCCCAACTGGAAGCAGGAGAACTATCCTCATGAGATTTTGAGCCAAAGCTTGCATACTCAGGACATATGGATAAGCATTCGTTATCCATCTAACCCACCCAAGCTGTAACACCAAACTTTTTGAAGTTGGATTTATATCTGTCTGCAAATCAATTTAAGTGGGAAAATGAAAGTATGCCATTGAGCACGATTATCTAAAGCTTTTCTTTTGTGAATATTCTCAGAATGAAAGTGCAATGAAATAATGTTTCTCCTTTAGAGAAAAAAGGTTTCAGTAAATAATAGATTTGGGGCTGCAAAATCTGGAAAGTCACATTCTTAAATCACTGAAATTACTTAGGAAATAGTCACATTTTTAAGAATAATTTAGGCTCATAGTAGAAGAAAAATTGTTGGTTTTTGCTTTTGAAAGTGGAATTCAGTCTCTACTGCAACTTTATAACATGTATGTCATCTAGAATTTGGGGATTGGTTCTAATACTCATGTCCTGCTAGGTGACTGTGAGGGCAGTTTGCAATGTGTTAAGGCATACTAAGCATCTCACAGAAGCTGGCTTATTAATTTAAATATTACAGGTGGAGTGAACTGAGCTAACACTTTCTTAACATATTTTATGAGCAAAAGATGCATATAAATTTATATGTAGGTGTGTATAATTATGTGCACAAGCACAGGCTGTAGGTATCTATACGTGTACACGTGTATTATATTTAATGGTGATCAACAAATCACTTCATTAGCTGTTCCACTGCCAAAGCTTGTCAGCAGAAAACTCTTCCCAGTACCGTAGTTCTGTGGTGCCAGCAACTGTGAGAACAAGTCATGGCTCAGATGGAAATGTTGCCCCAAGTAATTGAATAATCTCTTGTAAAGAGAGTCTGATCTTATTTTTATTTTCGTCTCCACTCTTACAGTTTGAGTGTAAAATAAGATGTTGTCATCTTCCAGGCATTCCAGAAAAACAACATGAAAAATCCATTGACATTACAAAGGAATAAATATTGGGATGGTACCAAGCTGAGTTTCTAGCATTTGGCGTTATGGGTGTGTCACTGGAAGATAAGCAAATAGGCCAGGTTTTTTTTCCACATAACCACAGTCATTATCTATTGTAAAAGCCTAACCGAGTGATGAACTGTTAGAAATATTTCTTGTCTTCTTTTTGGTAAAAGCTGTGATCTGCTATCAATTTGTCAGCTTTTAGCTCCCCCTCCCCCTTAAAAACAAACAAAAAAACATTTTTATAATTGGTATTCCTCATGAGTGCCAGTCATTGTTTTGAAGCTTTCAACAAAAAGTTAAGACTAACAGCATGTGTTCCCAGATTTTGCTCTCTCTATGTTCATTTGTCCCAGAATAAAGATACTTTTTCTAAAAATACATGGTAGAAAGCTGTCTCATAAAGCAGCATTAGAGCTTACTTGGTTTTGTTGCTATTTAATTTTTCATTACTCTATCAAAGTTTTGCCCACAAATCTCTCTTTAATCATTCAGATTTACAACAAACCATTCTTTCTCCTTTTTGCAGTAATGTTTGCATTAGGCATATGCTTGTCTTCCTTTGGAGGGTTGTTTTCATTTAACACACTTGTACTTTCCATTCTGAATCACAGCAGCCATTTAAAACATGATGGTGAAGTTAGCTGTTTTGTTCTTTTACTCTGCATGCCACTATTCTGCCACAATGCATAAATCTTCCATTGGTAGCATCTCATGTCACCAGGAATCACTAAGCATTTATTTCTTCCAAATGGAACCAATGGTAAGTTTATGACTTTGTCACTGGTGCTTTTCATTACAAATGAAACTTCACAAGCTTGACATTATCTGAAACAATTCTTAGAAATGCAGTGCAGAGAAATTAAGGGATGCAATTTTTTGAGCAATAAGAGGATCCATTCTTTTCAGTCACCTGAAATTCTCTGCAAAATCTAAATGTCTGCCTTTTCAAAGCAGTATATTTTTGGTGTTGTGCTGAGCATCTCAGTCCTAGAATCATGTTAAAGAGCCCCCCAGAACTATTTTCCCCTCATCTGCTTGCAGTGTTTGTGTAGTTATTTATGCAGTATGCCGTTTTTTCCTCAAAAAGAAATTCCTCAGTACTCTATTTTTAATAGCAAAATGCCAACAGGCTAGCTATTGAGAACATCCTTTGAGAGAGCACAACACTGTCTACACTGCTACAGCTACAACTACCTCTGGACCCTAGGCATGTTCAGCAGCTCTGTGACATGCACTGGCAGAGACTGGAAAGGGGCAAAGGTCCATCCATGAACACTTCCACATAGGAACATAATGGAGCATCCCAATAATTGCTCCAAAGGTAAACCTGCTGACCAATCTCCTGCGTGATGATTCTAGAAGAGATTTCTAGGCACTGAGTAGAGGTCTAATGGGGTGATCAAGGCCCTCTCACTGCTTTCAGAGCAAGATGGGAATTACTATACGTGGGGCTGAGATCTCTTTGCATTCTTTCTTCCTGATGTTTCCGTAGTAGGAAATTTGGGGATTAAAAAAAAAAAGACTAAAATGAAGAGAGTAGATTTATTGCCTAAATATTGTCGGTCTCACACAATTCGAAAGAACAATTCAGTATGAACTGTGTAAGAACTGTGAGCCTTAGCATTACGGATAGAAACATGTTTTTTAAAATAGCAAAAGTCCGATGAAACACAAAACCTTAGCAAATGGATTAATGTTCATATAATCAAGTTGTTGAATTTTTTTTCTTATACCAGTTTTGATAAGATTGCACTAAGAAATACTTAAATGGATAGTGGAATGATTGTGGGAGGCTACAAAAACATGTTTCCTCTACAGCCTTGACACTCTCATCCTACAGTTGAAAAGATTATTTGAAAATGGCTGAAGCAAAAAAGAAGTAAAAAAATCTGAATTTACTGTTATTACCTTCTGAATTTTTATTCCTATTCAGTACAAGGGAAAAATATCCTTACTTCAGTCCTCTCATAATCAGAAGTTTGACACCCAACTGTTTTCAAATTTTAAGACAAGATGCAGAACCACACTGACAGAGCAAGCTGAGAGGTACAAGTTTTCCTAGTTTTGCTGGGAGAATTTGGAAGGGGAAAGGAGGAAGATGGAAATCCAGAGTTGTGCTTTAGTGAATTTCCAGCCCTTAATGCAGTATTTCTGACTAGAATAAGGACCACACGAAGCATGTCAGAATGACATCCACATGTAAGCGAAAGGTCTGGTTTGAGATTTTTTTCCAGTTCACAATCAGATTCAAGTTTACCCAGGATCACCAAAACTGCCAAATGTCAAGTCAACAGAGAACAAATTCAGAATTTGTCTGGATTCTCAGAAGGGAGTGCTGATTTTTAGCTGAAATTGCACAGAACTCTTTGGCTATTTTCTTAAGGCCTTGCGCAGAAAGTGAAGTATATCCTTGTTACCAGAGTTTTGTTCTAACCATAACTTTCAGTCAGTCCTCAAATTTAGAGTGTCTAATCTATAGAAATAGAAAATGATTTCAGATGAACCAAAATCACTAAGTATTATATACTGTAAAATTTACATGTTCATGTCATGTGAGTATATGTCATAACACCAACATTATTTCTAAACATGGACACCAAACCATCTTTTATATGAGCACATTCCTCAGGATTTGGTGGATTGGAATTAAAAACAAAAACAAAAAGATGCATCAAATCCTTTCAGTCATCCTTAGCTTTTCAAAATATAATAATGCATTAATGATTACAATGACAATGTATGGCTACAAATAATGACTGAAAAATGCCTCTAACAACAGAGTGAGGAAACTGTAAAACACTGTTTACAAAGTATATTTGGGGGAAAAAAATTATATTGTCTGGATTTGTAAATCTTTTTTTTCCTATCTCAAAAACATGACATGAGTGCTATCATTTGGTTTTACAAGAATATTTACAGAAAATGAAGTCTTAGGAGAGTTAAAATAAGTGCAATTGCAAGCATGCTGCTGCCAGAAATATTTGTAAAAGCACACACATCTTTGGTTTGCTTATGTCCCCTGCTTATGAAATTCTGATGAACAGTAAAAATGTAATTTGCTTAATAAGAATCAGCATTGTGGTGTAGCGGTTACTGGACTGTATATAACATTGGGGGACCTGGGACCAGTGCCTAGCTCAGATGTTGAGCTGCCTTCTGTCCCTGGCAAGAAGCATTGCTGTTTTCCATCTATGCATCCACTGTTGCTCTTTTGTCCCCCTTTCATATATAGGCTGTGACGTGTTCAAAACAGGACATGAATTGGCATTTCTGTGGGAGTGGAACTGAATCTACACAGTGGGTTGGCAATTTAAGCAGGGTTAGTAATGCATGTAGCAGTAACAAATACTCCATTGCAAGTTTAACATGTGGCTTTCATCTTTGGCATTCAAATGCAATGTGTGACACCAAGGTGAAACACTTCGGCTAAGAGAAATGCTCACCGGTGCTCAGTGGAACCGGTGCTTCACACCACAGTGCAGCAGTATGGGGTGCTCTCACGCCTCGACAGGGCAAGTTTTGGGGAAAATATTGTGCTACTCTTACGGATGCTTTCAGAACCAGTTATCTCCTTCATAACTGGAGCCATCAGTATCAAACATCAATTGACTGTGAATCCTGTCTCTAAACTTTCAATTATACCACATGACTGGTTTCTTTCGTCACTAGGAATGTATGTAACAATTTCATCTCAGTAAGTAACTGCCCACCCAGCACCTTCTGTTTCTGTGCACAGCTGGCTGCTATCCCCTAGAAGTTGTCTTGCAAGGAGTGAGAGTTAGGAAACATTCTCCAAAATGCATGCAGCAAGGTAACTGTGCTGCTCATGGCATCACTGATTCAGCCACCTTTGCTAGTACGTGGTGTAGAATAAAAGCTCACACTGTTCTGGAGAAGAAAATCTCAGTATAATTTTGGGGGCAAGATAGGGAGAAGCAGTATATTAGTTTCACCTACAGCACAACATATGCACATTGGAGGACAGAAATAGCATTTTTTTTATGTGGATGAAACACTTTGAAAGGTGTAGTTAAATCTCCCTGAGGTTGGTGTGTATAATATACATTTCATTTTTTACAGGGAAAGCGTTTGGAGTTTTGAGGATTTCTATTCAATGGACATGAATCAGCTTCATGATGTTTATTTTTTTTTCAATTGCAAGCAACTCAATCATGGTTGTAGACATGAAGCTGTTTCTTCTTCCAAAATCATGCTTGTTCAGCCATCTGTAGCTTGCCAGTGAGGAACAGACAATTGTACATTTGCTACAAAACATGTATTTCATTAGAGCTGTGGTCAAAGAAGTGTTTTGTTTTTGGATGGAATAAATAGCTGCAAGTGCTGTGGGAGTTCAGCAATGCAGAAACTCAGTCTTGTCCCATCATCTCTTGCTAGACTTTTGCAAAGGAGATGAAAAACAAAGATGGAACTTTAGCCCAAACAGCTCCAGCAAAGTTGTCTCTTATTGAGAGGACTGGGAAGATGGCTTGGGAAGCTGAAAAATTGAGAGAGGAGCTATGTAATACTTTGGCCAGCTCTGAATGAAAAGCAACAAACCGTAAATATTAAGCACCATCAGGTAATTTGGGGCAAGTGTGAGGGGCAAACTCTCAGGGAATGACTCCTGAGACCAAGTCAGCCTCCCCCCTTCCTCCAGTGCACACACTTCCCCATCCATCCCTCCTGCTTTCTCGAATACCTTTCTTCCAGCCTCATTGTTGTGCAAGTTCATCAGCCTTCGTGCATTCTTTTTGATTTCTCGGGCATCAACAAACCTCCGGGAGAACTCAATGCCGTATCTGATATCCGCAGAGCAGCCTCCCCACTTCCAGCCCTCCTCCTGGTTGTAGTAGCCCTGTTTCTCTCGGTCACAGCCACAATTGCTGAGGTTGCCCTGGCTGCAGGCGGCCGTGACAGCGTGTGCAACCCCGGCAGCAGTAATGGCATAGGTGAAGGCAGCTTCCCTGCTTCCTGTGGAGAGAAGCCAAAAGCTGATGGTTTGCAGAAAGGCACCACTTACTAAAGAAAGTACACACATTATGTACATCAATGGTGTCAGGTAAGAATGTGAGGTGGACATTACTAGCATAAGCATCTCATTCTGGCAGAATTACGTATGTAATTTGTATTTTAAATGCTTGGCTCAGGTAGGTATCATTGCCCCAGGTACATACCAGCTACATGACAGTCACATCTAACCCCCTGCACCACAGGGGAATTTTGCAATCAATCTGCTGGTGACGAGGTGAGTCAACATAGTTTGTTTTCATGCAATTTCATCAGGTTTGCAAACTGAACTGCATATATTTCAGACAAATAATAGGTGAGTTGCAATGCTCACTGAAAAACAGTTCTAAAGGTTGGTACTGCCTGGAAAAAGTGTACAGACAGCTTAAGAAATACCAGATCTTTCTGGGTGTGTGAGATGGCTAGGATACAAGTGAGGAAGGTTATTAGTGCACCTTTATAAACTCTCCAGTAATGTCTGTTACTGATACTGATGGTGAAATATGGCAAGAGTTGCTTACAGGGTGAAGAGCTTCATGGGTTTTGTTTCCTTTCAAGGTAAAGTAAAGATGATCTCTTTCCTTTACTGAGTTCTCTTGCATATGAGAAATCTTGCATTGTGGCTCTGGGCAGCCTGGTCTAGTGGTTGGTGACCTTGCCCACAGCAGGGGGGTTGAAATTAGATGATCTCTGAGGTCCTTTTCAACCCAGGCCATTCTACGATGTTATGATTTTATGACTTTTACTGCGAGTTTTTCCAATCCCACCCTGACTCAGAACTCTGCTTTACCTTTGTGAGTGGTCATACTGGGCAGTGGAAGTATCAGAGCAGCATTCTTTTCTCTCTGGAACAAGTGAGTTGCTGCCATGGAGGCACAGCTTTGGGTTTTTTTCCTTTTTTTTTTTTTTTTTTTTTTTTTTTTTAAATACTGCCAATAATTTCCAAGATTCCACATTCCCTGCTCAGTGTTATAGCTTTAATATTGATAATATTAAAAATATTAAGAAGAATATGATAAGGGGCAAATAAATGCCATTTTTTGACTAAACACGAGTTGGTTGAATTGCCTTTGGGATGCATATGAACAAGGAGACACAGAGCCTGAGCAATCAAAAGGGATGCAACAGCCCCTTACTGCTCTCACACAAGCCCACGCTCAGTCACCGACTTTATGTAGGGCTGGATCATGGCGCAGTGTGTTTTGCTGTTCTTATTTATAACGTTTCTCTTCAAATTCCCCTCTCTGTGCTATGATCGTTTTCCTCTGTGTGTTTATCTGGTGATAAACAGACAATCTTGTAATATCATTGCCAAAAGAATAACTGTAAAAGATTTGCAGAAAGTTGCTGAAAAGTTTTAATGACCACACACAGAGCTTTAACATGGGTAAAGGATTGGGGAGAAATTAAAAAAAAATAAAAAAAATAATTAAAAAAAAAGGAATAAATTTTCAAGAGGATTAAAAAAACAACCTTATAAACTATTTTTAGTTTTTTGTTTTAGGATTCACATATATCGTATGTGTTCGGTAATTATCTGTGCACAACATTGTGTTTTTCGTTTTTTTTTCATTTTTTTTAATGTTTTATGTGTCCTTTTCTCAGATAGCTTCCTGAAAATTTACACTGTTTCAGGATACAAGAGAGATCCTACATGAAGCAATCGTAAACTGGATTTTGGCACCATTTACTTGTTTCTCCAAAGCAATAAAAAAGAAACTCGAGGTAAGAGAAAAACAAAAGGGTCTTGTGTTCTTCAGGTACCAGGAAGGTTAACCTGAGCTGTACAAAATTTGAGTGCATCACCCAACAGAAGGCCCGACTCTGCTCTCAGACACACAAGTGTTTTGTTGGGGTGTTGTTCTATGTGTGTAGTCTGGTTCAGCGGTTCCCAAATCATGGTCTGCAGAACACTGGTGGTCCAGGAGGCCACGGTAAAGGGTTTGCAGTTAATCCACAGAGCCATATTAAACACTGTTTTTAATAGTGTTTTCAATTAAAAGTTTGATGATAACGATGCCTGGTGGTCCACAAGAAATTCTGAGGGTTGATAGCAATCCAAAAAAGTTTGGGAACCTCTGTTCTAGTTCCTAGTCTGTTCTCTAAAAGCTCATATCAGTATTCACTCATCTCTCACTCATCAGTTGAAGTCAAACCTGGGACACATATTTTAAAGTATATCCTGTTGACTTGCAGGGTTTCTTTCTTTATTATCTCCTCTAAATATATAGATTCTTAATTTAGATTCTTTATTGTTAAACTGAAAGTTTGGAAATATGAGAAATAATAGGAATGACATTTATAGATAGGTTTTCTTTTCTCTTCAGGATGAAAGTTGGATCTCAAAGTCATGAAAATTTTTGAGTTCAGACACCTCTGAAACACATGTAGAAAAGCTTGTAAACAAGCAGAAACATATTCCTGTCAGGGAACACCATAGTGATGAGCTGCTTGTAAGTAGATTTACCAGGAGATTAGCTAGAGAGAGTTTTCTGATGTTTTATTTTTAAATTCAATGCATTCCACATGTAACTACAGTAGAAGATGCTATTTCGTAAAGGCACTGTCTGTGACCTGTTCATGAGTTTTCACACAGCACTTCTTGTAATCAGTTTTGAACAACTAAGGAATATTCTGTTTTTATCTTCCTTTCTTTTCCCCCTGTTTTGTTATACCCTGATTACACTCAGGGACAGAGAGAAATATATTTCTTTCACTCACTTGAGAACTACAGCAGTAATGGAATTACCTCAAGTCAGGGGGTAAAAATGAATGAAAACCATACTGACTCTCTGAAGAGTGTATTCTTTGGTTTCAGTGCAGCTCTACAATAAGAAGGGCTCAGAAATAAGAGGTGGCTTAAAAATCAGGCTCCTTTTGCAAGTCAAGGTGCCCTGCCAAGAATTAATACTTTGTGCTCTGTAGTTTTTTAACTAAAAAACATTCCAAAGCTTCCCTTGAACTTCAGGGTAAGCATTACCTCAGCAGTTCTTTAAAGCCCTAGGATCAGGACTGTCAGAAAATGCCAGTGGAGGAGAGAGGAGAATTGCTGTCTGCTGAACACAAAGCTTTCCATTAGCATCTCATCATTTGGAGTCAGTCTTAAGTAAGTCCTTTCTAGGCAGCTAAAACAATTTAAGTAATGACTGCTGTGTTATTTTAATGGAGGACGATAATTTCACCTTCTGAAATTTTCTGACATTTCAAAAATATTCTGATTCAATAATAAAACAATTAATAATTTCCAAAAATTCTTAAGAAAGGTGAAATGAAAAGCAGAAGATCTGGGGTTTTACTCAGTTTTGAAGCTAGATTTTTGTTTGTTTTTTTCTGAAAAACATCCTGATCACCCAGTTATTAGGCAACATACGTTCTTAATAACTGTATTGCAGAAGAAAATTTACTTGTTTAACTTTTTTAATATTTTCTTTCACATAGATGAGAATAATTCTGTTAGCATCTTATGTTAGTGGAAAAGACACTGTGTTGGCTTTTATTGTGACCCTTGGATTCCTACATTTCTCTATTAGAAATGTCTTTGGTGTCAAAAAAGATAATTCTGATTTAATTCCTAAAACGTAGGAGAGTAAACAGAAACCTAGTAACTCCTGCAGAAGATAGCCAATCAGTACTGATTGAAATGATGACTATTATCTTTGGTAATGGTGCTGAAAGACACTTCTGGCATTCTGCTCTGTCATGAAAGAAGTCTTGTCTGTGATCTGTTGATTTAAGCATTCTTACTGTGGGTTGTAATTAAAAAGTGTTCTATTACCCATTAATGTAGACAGTTTCTGCTCAGACAGTCAGATATTGGATCATTGCTTCCTACAATGAGCAATTTCTGGCAGATAGGATGAGATGAGCCTATTTATCCATTGTTGGAGTTCTGGAGCAGCCTATACTTTAGATGTCATCTCTGACTAACTTTTAGGCTGCTAACTGAGCGCTACGTTTAGTATGGTCTGATGTGGAAATTACTATAAGTTCTATAATTGCTATAGTTTACTGTGTTCTAATATGCATATATTCTGCATGTAACCACAATCAGCTGAGAATCTTGTACGCTAAATTTTGACCACTTGACTGTATTTGAATGTACAGCACTACAGATATAACTGTTCATAATTATCAGCAAGGCATTTATTTCTCAGAGTAACTAGTTGAGAATATTACTATTCCACACATCATTCTGAAATGTCTTCTCTCAGCAGCTAGTTGAATAAAAGTGCTAATGAATGTCAGCTAGTAGAACTCAAATTTTAATCAAAAGATTAGACTATGGAATATAAACTGCTTATACATTAGTTTGCTAAATCTCCTATTAACAATGACAGAAAAAAATTACACAATGTTATTTAAAAAAACCAAGTTCCTACTATGTTTACACAATCTCTAAACACTAGAGGATCTTGGACTATATGTCAACCATGTAATGGATATTAATGGTAAGAAGAAATGAGCCATGGCAAGTTAGACTTTTTGCCAAGCCTGTTATTTTTGACAAGTCTTATTCTGCAATTCTGAAAGCTGAGGACATGGTCAGTCACTTTTTTTTTTTTTTTTTTTTTTTTAAAGACAATAGATACTTCTGGTTGAGTAAGTTAAAACTCAGACCATAGCCCTCCACAAATAGGGCTGGATGAAGACACTTGTAGATGAGCTTAGTTCCTTCATAATTTTGGTTTTTCTTACTCAACACACACTTTAGCAATTCTCAAAAAAAAAACAGTACAGGCTTTTTTCTTTGGGTTTGATATGCAGCAATACAAGTCAGTGGGAGTTTTCTTACTGTCTGAAGCAGATCCTTTCTCTATTTGCATTTTCAGTTAAGTAATTAAGGACTTCAAGATTAACAATCTAAAAGCAAGGATTTGTACGATTTCTTTGAGCTTCTAATTTACTATACCCAGTGCCATATGTAAGAAGTAGGAAATACTGAAATCAGACTGTGCAAGTAGAAGAAATGCAATTCAAAAGTAGAGCTTGCAGGAGCCTCAAGGGAATCCCTAATCCATCCCTCAACCCTCTTGTATGCTAATAATTCAGGTGCCCTTCACAACTGCTTTTTATTTACCCTTCCTTGTGGAGATTTGACAGTCTATTCCAGAGCTTTGAGACACACATTGCTAAACATTTTACTAATATCAATCTGAAACTGTATTTCTGAGTACAAACCATTTCTTAGTGTACAGATGCAAACAGATTGTTTTCTTCTTCTTGTAACAGCCTTTAAACATTTAAAGACTTCTACACCCTTTCTAGACTTGTTCCATTAGTCCCTGTAGAACAGTCTCAAGAGCAGTAATCACTTCTGCAGCTCTCTCTAGACTCTCCCAGTCAGCTGATGCCTTGTGCTGCCATGTTAGAGAAGGACAAGCTGAGGCTTTGCCCACTTAGGGTTAGAGCAGAAGTAGCATCTCACATGCTGCCTCCCAGTTTACTTGTGTTTTCACAGTAGCAGGACATTTTTGACTCTTAATCAGTTTGAGATCCTCTTGTATTGCAGGTGCTATCGCAACAGATATTTCTTGCATTTGTGTGGCTGTTTATTCCCACATACTAATCTTAGCCTTTCTGCTTTGCCTCCTCTATATCTTTTGTTTTCTTCTTTTTCAGACATTTTTTTTTAATCATTTTCCATTTTGACTCGAAATTCCTCCAATATCTTTCCAATCTGGATTTAATCTGTAAGTCCAATGAGCACAGCTTATTCCCTTGGTAAAGCCAAGAGTGTAAAATCAACTGTTGCCAGAACCAGCATAAATCACAAAGGAAACTCAAAAAAGTACACCCAAGTACCCTCCAAGTAAATTTCCAGATAACATGTACCTGTTCAGTCAGTTTCCTTAATTTTCTTATGAGAATATAATATAAAGCATTGTCAAAATCTTCATTTAAGTCCTAGATATATGGTATATATACTGGCTCCTCTCAGCCTCTGAGGCCCTAGATGGCAAAAGAAGGATATTAGATTGGTTTAAAATGTTTTGTTTTTGACAGATCCTTGTAGACTGTTATTCATCTCCTTGTGTTCAGTTATAAGCTTAAAAATGAGTCTTTGTTACCATATCTTTTTCATTCACTGAAGTCAAGCTTATTGGTCCTGTGATTCCTTTATTTCATCTTTTAGATAAAGATGATATATTCGCCTTTTCAACTTTTCTTAATGAGAATTCTCAGCAAATTTTCAATTCTAATGGCTGCCAGGACTAATGGTTCTACAATGGACTTGACAAATATTCTGAGATGAGGAACAGCTAACAAGAATGCACTCAACCTGGGTAGATAATTCCTTCTATCTAGTGCTAATATTATATTCTTCTGTAGATTAAAATAGTTCTATAACCTTCTGCTCAACACTGACACACTTAGAAAAGGTTGATGCAAGACCTTCTTGGCATTCTTGACATTATCTTTGATGGATCATTTTTTCTTCATCTTCCACTCAATGACAAAATACTGACTGAATGGTGGTTCTGTAGTCTGTCATTAAAAGAAAAAGAACAGTCATCCATGGTCATGAGGATTACCTTACAGTGTCTGCACTCAGAAGTGCTCCTGAATTAGGAACTGATGCAGACTGAATAACTGCTGGTCTGGCAGGTCTTTCTTACTTAATCTGATGAAGTTCTTTGAAAGTCATATTAGTTAATGATTTCTTTCCCATATTTGTTTCCCGTTTCCTACTTGACGCTTTTATTTCCTATTACAAGCTAATTAAA